GGGGGAAGGGGTCACCTTCGTGCGGTCCCCATTCCTGAAGGTTTAGCCTTTTAAATTCCGAAGTAACATGGCATTTCGGGCCAGATAAGTTCATCGGAAATATCCGGCCGGGCATCGGGACCGGAGAATAACCCCAAAAGGCACCCCAAAAAAATTGAACGGAGGGTGTGATTGCGCTCTGGAAGAGTTCCTCCGGGTTTGAAAATGACCGTTTTTTTTTCTCCCAGATCGTTTTTTCTTGGGCGTGTTGTGTGTGTCTTGTGTGTGTGTGTGCAAATGGGTGGGATTTCCCCCAAATTCTCTCTCAAAAATTGTGTGTGTCTGTGTGTGTCTGTGTGCAAATGGGTGGATTTCCCCTAAATTCGCTCTCAAGCGTCTGTGTGTGTGTGTGTGTGTGTGTGTGTGGTTGTGTGTGTGTGTGTGTGTGTGTGTGTGTGTGAGAGAGAGAGAGAGAGCTGTGTCTAGTTGTGTGTGTGTGTGTGTGTGTGTGTGTGTGTGTTTGTGTGTGTGCGTGTGAGAGAGCTGTGTCTAGTTGTGTGTGTGTGTGTGTGTGGTTGTGTGTGTGTGGTTGTGTGTGTGTGGTTGTGTGTGTGTGGTTGTGTGTGTGTTTGTGTGTGTGAGAGAGCTGTGTCTAGTTGTCTGTGTGTGTGTGTGTGTGTGTGTGTGGTTGTGTGTGTGGTTGTGTGTGTGGTTGTGTGTGTGTGTGTGTGTATGTGTGTGTGTGTGACTCAGTGAGAGCTGTCACAGCATGCCTCTGTTTTGAATTTGTGCACACACACACAAACACACACACACACACACACACACACAACACACACACACACACACACACACACACACACACACACACACACACACACACACACACGCCAACTCTAGGTTGGTGTGAGTAGAGTCGACCACGTTTCTCTATCAAGGATGGGTATAGCTAACTCTGGGGGACTCCGGGGGACGTGGCAAGTCCTAACCTTACCCATCAGTCAAATGCATCCTGGGCAGACTGTCGGGGTCTAACCTCCTGATGAAGAGGCGGTGAAAGTCTGACGAAACAAAACAGTCTGGCACAGTCATGCTTTTCTTTGTGGAGTTGTGTACAGCGAATACGACGACGACACAGACATTCCAAGTCGACAAACATCGACATCCACACGGACATTCATACACCTACAATGACTGCAAGGTCTGGAAACCAAGTAACCAACCGACAACAGACCAGAATTTCAAAGCAAGCGTCCTAAGAAATGACATGAAATGACAGAGCACATACTGCCCGCTCTTAATCCGTCAGTCATGTATCAACAATGTGCACAAGGTCCTCTCTCTCGACCCAGCCCCCTCTTTCTCTCTATCTCAATTGCGTCAACATCCCGCATACCCCGTCCTGCAACAACACAGGCGTCTGCTACCCTCTCTCTCCTCTCTCTCTCTCTCTCTCTCTCTCTCTCTCTCTCTCTCTCTCTCTCTCTCTCGGGCTCTCTCTCTCTCTCTCTCTTTTACACACACACACACACACACACACACACA